GTAGAAACGACAATATATATATATATATATTAACAATAATCACATCAATTTCCAAGGAAAAACCTCAGAAACATGAATATTTAAAAATGGCAATCATATAAAAAAGTACTACAACACCTAAAACGCCAGACAAAGGCAGCTCCGCTCACTCGTCTCACAAAACTAACCCCACTTGCCTACTGACTACTAAACAGATTTCAAAGAAACCCTACTAAATCTGAAGAGCACCATCTGAGGTGCTGGAGCCTTCTTCTTGGGAGGTTTCTCAACCGCAATGGCCTGTGTTGTGAGGACTATTCCAGCCACTGATCCAGCATTCTGCAACGCACATCTAGCCACCTTCGCCGGATCTATGACACCAGCTTCGACAAGATTCTCGTACTTGTCATTCATGGCATTATAGCCAACCTCCCATTTACTGTCTTTGATCTTCTCCACCACCACCTCTCCTTCATCTCCTGCGTTGTGGGCTATCAATGCTGCAGGAGACACCAAAGCCTTTTGCACAATGTCAGCGCCTATGCGCTCATCAGGATCCTCAAGCTTCTCCTTTATAGAAGGAACAAATGTTGGAAGATGAACAAAGTCGGCACCACCACCGGGAACAATGCCTTCCTCTATAGCTGCAAAGGTGGCATTTTTAGCATCCTCGATCCGCAGCTTACGGTCCTCGAGCTCCGTCTCGGTTGCAGCACCAACCTTTATCACTGCAACTCCTGAGAGCTTTGCAATTCTTTTCAGCCAGCATCTCAGAATCATAGACAGAGTCTGTAGCAGCAAGTTCCTTCTTTATCTGGGCAATTCTAGCTTGAATTTCATCTTTGGTAGCCGAATCTGCAATGATGGTGGTGGAGCTTGATGAGACTGTGATATTCCTTGCAGTGCCCAATTGCTCTACTGACGAGTTCTCCACTAACAAGCCCAGATCTTTGGCTTGGAATTCAGCCCGTCACAATAACAATGTCTTGCAAAATTGTATTCTTTACAAGGACTAATGATATGATTAGTTTGGAACATGTTTTCTATGTTTGATGTAAATAATAAGATCTAGTGTTAGGGGTGTCAAATCGTGCTCTCGGGTTGTGTTCAGATTTGACCAAAATTGATCCAAATAAAAAATGGTTGACCTGAACTTAATCCAACTATTAAAAGGCTTAGAAAGTTCACGGACCCGACTTGCCTCTAACCTAAACCAGACCTATATAACATTTTTAACATAAGACATAATTTTTATTTGGTTCAAATGTGAGTCGATTCTGAGTCAGTCTCATGCCACTTTTTGATTGGCGAGTTGATTTCATATTTTTTCAGGTTAGCATGTTAACTTTGGATTCGCGGGTCGACCTTAGTCTAACCCAAAAAATTAAACAGGTTTGGATTTCTAACCAGAACCTGACCCAAATATTATTCTGGTGAAACCCAAACTCGAGTTTTTTGAGTCTAGCTGGCACGACAGGTCATTCTTTCACACCCCTATCTAGTGTCAATGATTGAGTTCCTTTTATATACAACAAAATGCATAGACTGCTTGCTCATAAAATGAGCTTCTAGTTATACATTAAAGTATCTTTTTCATTACATTATTACCAAATATCCTGGCAGGAAAACCAGGAAGCCACTATCATATTAGGTGCGAAAACTAAAGGCAGAGAATTGAATGAATTTAAAATAGGTTTTTCCCTCTTACTCTACTATATACAAGTTTGTCTTATATGTGGCGCCCGATTAATTACCAAATGAGTAAATGAGGAAATGAATAATACCGGAGGAGAAATCACAAACCACAAAAACAATTTTTATTAATAGGGAAATAGGATTACAACTAACACAAACTAAATGTAACATCACCAAAGCCTTAAAACAACACAAACAAACACCTCGAAAATATATCCCAAGGGCGGTGGAGGTTGGTTGAGTGGATCAGGATGGTTGACAAGGTTGGTGACAACAAAGGAGTGTTGATGGTAGCGAAAGGAAGGTGCAAAATTGCGAGGACAACAAGTATGGTTGGTCGTAGGTGGTCGGCAAAAGGCGGATTTGTGATTGAAGGTGCTGGACTGCAAGAGAGCGGTGGGGAGGACCCGGGATAACAAGGTGGCGGGATGTTGAGAGGGACTTGAAAGGGGTGGACAGTAGGTTGCTACACCAGAAAGGGGGTTGGCAGTGCAGGGGGGAAGTTGTGGGGGTGGGCGATGGATAAGGGAATTGGTGGAAAAGAAATCGGAAAGATAAAAAAGGAAGATACAATCGTCACGTCGGAGTAGGATATAGTCGGAGCACTACCACCTCCTCAGATACAACCCAAAGGGAAAAATGGACTCCACACAAGAATTTGAAATCAACACATAGCAAAAACTCTCTAGAATTTTTGCAAACCAACATACATATAGCTCTAGCTAGGCAGGAAACATGAAAGGTTTGAATAAGAGAAAGGAAAAAGGAAGAAAATGAAACTCCTACAGAAGGAATGGGTGGGAATACTCCAAAATATCTGTTAAAATCTTTCACTAAGGAGAAGAA